TATTACTTACGTGCTTGATTCGGTTCTGTTAAAGCAAATAAAGTTTTTCTGGGCATACAGACCTAGTAATCAAATAAAGTCGACGAGCCCGATTTTTAGAGGAAACAGAAAAACGGTCGCGTCAACATCTCGACTGTTCCAGTTTGCACTATTTGCTTGTGCTCGACTTTGTATACACTTTGCGCGCAGTAGAAAATATAAGAATCCTTCTCGTGACACAGATCCCGTCTTAACTTTATTACAAAATTCTGGTACGTTTTTTTGTATTTCAGTTTTTTTCTCATTTGGTTTTTATCAAGTTTTTATCAAGCGAAACTTTTTTATGCGAATTTATATGCATCACTGATTTATAGCGGAAAACTTTGGAGCTTATAAACACACATTCTACTGCTACTAAACGTTTAGTTTGACTTATTTCCATAATATCATAAACACGGCAAAATTGGTGTTGAGAGAAGGTTGCCTATAATACGATTGCCAGCGGCGTCGTCTATCTGCATTGTATTTGCCGACAATTCCGATTGCATACAAAACGACTGCCTTTAATCCACTCTAAGTAATAATTCACAAAATGCGCGTACAAATACTATTGTATTCTATTGCAAATCGCACACACGGTTACATCACCGATATAAAACAGAAGAACTGCCTTAACGCGTTGTACGTATGCACGTTGCAAGCACAATCACATCATGGATATAAAGTAAAAAAATCATAGTAATATTCACTTGATCTTATTATAGATAGTACACACGCACATAACAATATCGCGTACACAAAGTAAGAAAATTATATTAATACTTTATACACAGATTTTATTATACACACGCGCGATTTTTCACATCAGTTTTTATTCTCTGTAGCATCTAACATATTAATTAACATACAGTATTTTTCATAGAATATTTTATGACATCATCTTATTCCTTCAACTAAATAAAATTAAAATCAATTTCTCGTTAACAAAACTTTAATTTATTACAAAAGAAAAACTTTGTTTTATTGCAGCTTTTTACATTTGAATATTAAACATCTTGATAATTGACGCTTCAATTAAAAGTTTGCTAAAGTAAAGTTTATATAAAGTTAAGAATAAATTTCTATTATATGAATTGTTTATGATCAAAAACCTGTTGATGCTTTCACAATTTGAAAAATAAATTATTCATTAACTTTATTGAAATATTCAGAAAATAATGCGTTATACGTACTAAATTCATAAAATGTAAGATAGCAAAAATATCTTTCGTTTTTTATTCAATGCTTGACTCAATGTTATGAAAAAGAAAAACATTGAGTGGAGCAAAGCCACGAAAAATAGGTAGCAGAAATGTCAGATATCGAGACAGCAGTCAGTCGGAAAAAAGAAATTGACGAATGGAGCGGCCTGTCATCTGTCAGATCGAGAATATTACGTTCGCAAGCAGTGAAATAGTATATAACTTAAAGGAAAAAAACACTTAAATTTAATTTTCTGATTTTGCATTGAAAAAATGGATGATATTTAGAGTAGTTTATAAATCTGTATAGCAAGTTAAACATGACAAGCATCAGGTCATACGTTTTTATTCCGGATCATTTGTTTTCACATCCGCTGCGAATAATGTTTCTTTTCCTCTTCGATAAATGAAATGACTAAGTGCATTACTTAGTGGATAGGAAATAATATTACCTGAATATCGCTGAACGATGCACACACTCGTTCTTCCGCGCGGGATGCGCTCTGGAAAAATTTCAGATTCCTGCAGATATGTGAATGTATGTATGCAAGTGAATGTGTGCATGTGGGTGTATAAAATGGCGGGTGCAACGATCGATGCAATTATATGCTCGAGTTGTTCGTAGTAGAGATGTATCAGAAAAAAATTACGGATAAAACAAGTTTCAAAAATCATGTTTAAATATCACAGATGTCTAACTGTTATTGGATTAATTCTTTTTATTATTTATATTTGATAATACATAAGATTATTAATATTTAATACTAATAAAAATTTGTATTTTGTTTTATTCCAAAAACGGACAGAACTTTCCGGTAGACCTGATATTTAACAAAATTTTACATGGCGAGCATCAAGACGTAATTATTCCATAAAATACACCAGCGTTGCGCTGGTCTAACAAAAGTTGGACACTGCATATGTTCTTAAAAATGCAGGACAACTAACTTTTTCATTTTACCCCGTTAAACAGAAAAAAGTAAACACAAATGAATTATTTCAATTACGGTATAATACAGCCGTGACGAATGAATAATAAATATGATAAGCAATATACGAATAAATAACGTATTTTTTCCCGGCCATTAAACGAACATTGGGCGTAGAGTGAAAAATGCAATAAAGGTACGAAATTTTAGTTAAATATGCCACATAATAATGTCATCAATTATATTGTACATTATATTATACGTTAAATTTGGAATGTAATAAGCTCACTTTTAGCAATTTCGAACTATATTGCTCATTATGATATTATATAAGCTACATAATTCCTGAAGCTATATGTATTGCTATTATTTCGTAAATTATCTATTTGGGATAAATTCTATCAATTGTTAATAAAAGGTTCAAATAAAATGGCCAGATATCAAACAAAATTGCAAAGCTTGAAAGACAATCGATACTATATTATTTCTTCTGGCAGTAGAAGAAAATGCAATATGTACCAATATACCCCATCGATATTTCTATCGGAAGATAGAGTATTTCCCATTGGTTATATATATATTCTCTCATTTTCCAATATATTAATACTAACAAAAAAATTTTCGATTTTTCACAAACTTATTTAACAGATAAAAAAATTGTAGAATATTTGCATAACTATCAATTTCTTTGAAATCTCTATTTACAATTGGCTATTTTGTAATAGATATTTTATATTTAAAGAATGTGTTACTTCGATCAAGTAAAAAGACAGTAAATAAGCAAGCGCGAAGTTCCTGAAAGCGATTTTGTATGTGTCTGCCCGCAAAATGGTTTAGATACTTCTCATTAAGTAGAAAATGTCAAGTAGAAAAATTGGTAGCGACCGCGCGGAGAGTATTTTTTTGAACCCGTGTCTCTCTTTTTACGGTCGGTAATTTGTAGACAGATGGCACGAGAGCGTGCAATAATTCACGGTTCTTAATGTTTAAGCATCCTATATCATTCTATGTTTAAACTCCTTTTTTACGTAACACCGATAAATAACACCTGCATGAGAACATCTGCCGCGGATATGAAGAAGAATTTTGTTGAATCGCGAAAAAATATATTCTTATAGACTTCATTCAATATAGAGAAACAGGCACAGTGATATTTATAACAGCAATCGTCTCTTTAGCTAATCGAATTATTTGAGCTCGAAAACTGCACGGCTGGTTGACTATTCATCGATATCGAATAATGTCAGTATTTGGACCGATCGACCCGCCCGGTATATCTCTTTTGTATAACCGGCTAGGCTGATTACAAATTTCCGCGTCGAGTTAATTAATTAGCCGGCATTAATTACAGCCATACAAGAATAATTGCTTTTTTTCCTCGGCGAAATAATAGCGCAAGATCGTTTGTTCTGGTGTTCCCTGCGCAGCCGCCGTTCCTGGTCCCGTCGACGGTGCTACGCGCGTGTTCTTAACGGTGAGTTTCAATTTCCTGGCCACGGGTCACCGCCCTTGCAATTCCGGAAGAACGAAACCGGGACGCGCTCAGCCTCCCGAAGTGCGCGCGAACCCAGGAACAAATGAAATATGCAGAACGCTTCTACTTCGCGATCCGCAGCTCACGACGATGATGGGCGCGCGAGGCGCGGAAACGGCGAGGAGGGGTTAATTGCAAGGAAATACGATAAAGCAGACGGGAAGCGTTTCGTCGAGACGCTGGAAAATTTATACGAGGCGTAGAGGACGGCTTTAAAGAGACACCGCGCGCTCGTGCCCGAGGGAACGGACGCCGAAATAAACGAGGACACGCCGCATACTTTACAAATTCCGAATTGCGATCCTCGGGAGGGAACCCTGTGGTTCCCGTGACCTCCATTATTCTTGGAAATGCCTTGGCATTTCATCTCGTCCAGATATCCTTGGAATCGGTCGGTGAGACACATATGAATGATAAGCATCCGCTATTTGAGTTTTTTGTCCGATATTGAGGATGGTTTCTCAAGAGCGCTATAATTTTATCCTCTAAACAATAAATTAAAATGTTTTTTTTTACAGAACTTTATTAAACTCTCTAGTACACAGAAGCTATTGAGATATGCATATTTTAAAATATAAATGATTAAGAAAAAGAAATATTGAGACTATTCTCAATCTAATTTTTTTTTCAATTTTAATCTCGTCTCAATCAGATCTTGCCCAAATAAATCTTTCTCTCTTAAAAAAAAAAAGTTTTTGTATTATCTTGCGATATTCTTCTATCGCTGATTCATCAATTTATCCTTTGAAGATACACGGATTGAAAAAAGTCGATATAAAAAGCAATAAAAAATTCTACAAAGCTTACCGTTAATAAGTTATCCTCATCCTGTTTGTTCTTTGTGATAGCAACCCTGCAGCGTGATAGAGATTGCCTGGTATATTCCGCGTCTGCCGTAAAGTTGTCAATTTATATCCATCGGTGAGTTCGTGCGCGATTGCGAATTTGATGGAGCTTGTCAAATTCCGATATCCCCAATTGAAATTAATATATATTCTGCGATTCTATTTTTAATATAAGCCTCCGTTGGAAGCCGTATAACTTATAATACAACGTAATCCAACGTGCGTTTGATATGCGCTACCGTAAAATCGGTGACAATGGGAATAAAAGGGCTGCTATACGACGGCAAAAACTATACTTCGTCGTACTTTTCTCCCGTGTATACGTAAGGCACGTAAGAAAAACTCTAGCCGGTTATGATTCAATCACGTCGCTTCGGCGATATCAGGCCGGATTAATACATCCCGTCGCGGCGGTTCCTGTATTCACGGCAGGTGTGCTAAAGATGAAAAACGCTTGATTACAAAAGAATTTGCATTTTTATTACAGTGACGTACGTATATGTTACAGTACACAGTGTGTAACGACAACGCATACATAGATCTCGCACCGCGTTCGAGAGATCTCGCTCCTTCCTTTCCCTTGGCTGAGAACCGGAGTCCCTTTTTCTCGGAACCGTTGTTCCGATAATGCGATAATGAACGATCACATCGGACACGTCAAGCTACGTTTCCGCAGCTCGTTGTTTCGTAACGATTTTTCCTAACGAGCTTGCTGGATATCGCATTGCCTCGATAATAACGTCGAAGCGCGTCACGTTGAGTTGTCAAACTCTCACAAGTCGAGTTAAAAATTTCTTTGCAATAACCGCGATATTTTATCGCGATATTGCGGCAACGCGGCTTCAATAATCGCACGACTATTGGCGATATCGAGCGAGTATCAATCTGTGTCGGCCTCGAATTCCGAAAAAAATACTCCATCCACGCGTCATTCATCGCTAATGCGAAATGCGTTACATCGTCCGTCGCGTATCGATACAGCGATAAAAGTTCTGATGGACCCATCTCGTTGGGGTTCCTTGGAAAATTGGGGAGATAATCGTCGATGCTAATTCAACTACTATTGTTTCGCTATTTAAGAGATCATCAGAATTTTCACGATAATAAATCTGTGACATTCTTAACCACAGAGTACATAGTTTCCCGATACGTATGTATCTATATACAATCGTCACGTATTTCACGTATATTTATAGATTCTAAACGATTTCCCGTAAACGGAACGTCACTTTGAAACTGCCGATAATTCTTCAGTGATGGTTAGCATTCAGGAACAAATATTTGATCCAGAAAGCAAAGGTAAAAGTTCGTACTCGATACAATCTCGCGTGTATAATTTTATATCTGACCTATTTTCTCGAGCTTGATCTTCTGTGGACATTAACAAAAAATATGTATGTTTGCATTTTTAACTGAATATGTTATCTCCACGTTGAAAATACCAAGAATTTATTTAATCGCGAATAATCAGTAATAAAAGAATCATTACTTTAACGATCCGCTGTAAATAAAATTCATACCGTGCGCTAAAATGCTAACCGCAAGAGTTGAAAATATCTTCTTTTAAAAATTTACATTTTTTTCACACATCTTTTACCCTCTCATCGCTGGAGAAACCGGAAGTCGCGCCATCGATCGCACACGCAGGGGATGAAAAGTTTTTCCCGTCCCGCGTCATTTTCCTCATGATCCGCGCCAGCCTAAATCGGAAATTGATGGTACCGTCATCGCGGACGTTTATCGCGAAATGACATGCCATTTCGCGAGATCGGCGCGTGGTGACGTTCTAAACGCGCGCGGTTTGCCGAGCCATTAAGAAAACACAATAGCCACTTTACACCCTTGCCCGTCGCATCGTACCGATCTCCATCCGGCGACTGGACGATATGTAATAACGCAGTGTGTTTAGTCGTAAATCGTTCGACAAATGTGCGTCGCGCGTATATTACACGGAAACGAAAGTCTCTACCTATCGTTTTACATCGTCGCTTACGGTCGTTCGGGAGCACGCGTAATCGTGCGTTTCACATACACTCTTGAAAATTTCATATTTCTTGAAAAAGACAGAGCATTATTCTACAAAGATGCGCGTTCTTCTTCGATGTATTGTTCATCGTCCGTGAACTGGATCGATTTTTCGCTAGATAAAATGGTATTCGTCTTTCCATATTCAAGATAGTCTCTTGTATTTATTTGACGTCGATATACTCTTTATTTCACATCTCTCTACGCGCAGATTTGATGCATCAGCGATCGCGCGTATTGATTTTGACATTCTACTTATATTATTCTGAAAATACGAATTTAACAAATAGAAATTTTTCTGAAGCGGAATTCGATAGTGCTTGGCTGAGCTTATTGTAATTCAATTCTCGATATAGGGTATATGGAGAGTACTTTAATACATCTTGTCTTATTCAAAATTTATAAGATTTTTTTTAGAGTATATACGAAAGAGATAGAAAATTGTGCACGTATGATTTACATCGCTTGTACATTAACAAATTCAATTTCCTATTTAATGTACACTCACATGTCCGATTGCGCGCGCTCGTCCAATATGACGTCTCGACATTCTGAAATGATTGAAGCTACTTAGAACAAAATTTGGACTCGTAGAAAATCGCTTTATAAAATGCTCCGATTACTTAATAAAGATCCCATTCGCGCGCGCATTCTCACGCACATACTCACTCATTGCTGTAGATTCGCTTCAACTCTCTTCGTTGCCGTTAACTTGATTTGCAGATAATAATGTTTCTCGGGAATAAAACGGCCGAACGGGCTTCTCTCAAGCATTCTACTGTCTAGCATCCTCGGATGCATATCACTTGAGCGCACAACACCGCTAATCGCGAACAGTTTCTCAATTCGTAAAACAGTTCGACGTCGTGTCGAAAATTCGACAGACAGTTTGAGATCATTTGGCGCGTAAACTCGAAACTTCCGCGAGTCGGGGAGCCCTTCGAACCGGCAAACACGCTCGAATCCATCGATTCTGCTCACACGTTCGAAACCTCCACGAGTCGGGAGTTCCGCGACTTTTCTCATACGTTCAGCGTAGTATTGCTGATGAAGTTCGGATGCTGGCCATCCTGGCTGGTCTGCCTGGCGGTGGTGTGGCCGGCTTCGCCGCTCTGTATGCTGAAATGCCGATACGATATGTACTCGGGCGGTATCGGCTGTTGTTCTCTCTTGACCGCTTCCCGCTGCTTCTTAACCTTGAGATAGCCCAGCACGGACACCAGTAGGAGGAAGACGACGATGCCCATGCAGCAGCCGACTATCAGACCGAGCCGCCTCGTCAGGAAACTGCTGACGCTATCGACGTCGCCCATGGCCGAGCCGTCGCTGCTAATTATCGCGTCCGGCGCGTCCAACGTCTTCACCTCGGTACAACGGCTGGTCGTGGAATCCTTCATCTGCGGGCTCGGCGTCGACGCGAGTATCTCGATCTGCGTAAAATTGAGCTGTTCGATCGGGCCGTTCTCCGTCCGCGAAGACATCCAATTACCGAGACCGAATACGCAGATCAAGTAACGAGTGTTCGACGATAGCTTCGACAGTTTCACCGAGCGCGCGCTGGGCTCGAGTATTTTGGCACGTACCTGGAATTTTTAAGGCAGTAAAGATGATGCCCGTGTCTTGGAGATCTTTGAATAAATGTAGGGGAAAAACGCGACGTGTCAACATCGAAAGTTTCAAGTACATTGATAAATATTAATAATGATATTCATAAAAATTATATATACAAGTCTTCAGCGTTATGTCTTTATATTCTCGTTTAGCATATTGATATTTTTCAATTACTTTTACGGAGAATATTTTTATCGCCCCGTTGAAATAATGCGACGCAAAATTCTTTTTCGCGAAATAAGCGCATAGAAATTGCGGGTGTGTATCGCCATTATCCGGCAATTACTAAAAACGGGATAAATTTGCGAGTTTCTTCGGAATGGCGAAAATACTTAATCCGGAACGTTGCGACAGTTTTTTGCGCGCTCGCGCGCGATCGATCAACCGGGACGGTGTCGGATGTGACGACACGTTTTTGCAAGGGACGAGTTAGAGCCTCGTCGGGGGAGACGGAGAGCGAGAGAGCATCCAGGCTTTTACTATCGATTAAATCAAGCCGTTTTACACTTTACACGCGCCCGCTCCACCCTCTCGATTTATGCCTCCCCCTTCCGCTTTGTATCTCGCGCTCGCTTTTTAGCGATGGCATCGCCGCGTTACACAATGAGAGAGTGTCTGCGTATTCTAGTACCTCGTCAACATCGCCCAGGGCGTGATAGGCCACCTGATAGCCGCGCAAGCTGGAATGATTCCTGCTCTGCCACGACACCAATACGGAGAAAGGCTGGATGTCCTGGATCGCCAATTTTAATACCAAAGGCGCGGAGCAGAAGGCGCGTGGGTCCAGATCCAGGAATACAAGTCCGCGCAGCTCCGGCGGCTGTTCGCATCTCAACAGACCGCCGTCCACGTCGTTCATCCTCAGTCCGCCACCGCGATTCCGATTCATCCCGCCGCCGACCAGCTTCTGATGATCGCGCAGCCATTCCCAGAGCTCCTGGGAGTCGCAGTCGCAATGCAGCGGATTTTCTACACGCGAATTTAATGACCATAATTATCTCGGGAAAGAGAGTTTTACGATCTTGACGTCTATAAGTTATCTTACAGTCTATAGACGATCGTTGGCGCGGATATCTCTGGGATTTTAAGAAAGTTTTTCATTGCGTCATAATAGTCACGAGAGTATTAAGGGTTGTAAAGATCGAGCATTTAGATTTTCTATAAATACCGTGACGTTTATTACATCGTGATATATGTATACGTGATGCTATAGTCGTCTCCGCGACATTTTGTAACATCGAGCTTTGTTGTACGTGTACGTACATGTTCTACGTTCGTATTGTCTCCTCGACATCGAGGAGTTCCGCGAGTATAACTACCTGCACGGCTATTTTCAACTGAGTCAAACTCGTTCGCATGCGAAGACACATCGATGGCGAATTTTGCATGCAACCAATCATCTTACCGGCTGTGATTGCTATTGTCGAGCAGGGAGTAACGTGATCGCTGTAAATGGCACATGTGCTATACGCGAATAATATTGTTGAACGTAAGGAAACTTTCCCGTGCTAATTCAAGATAGACTGCCGAATAACAATTTCGATGTATACAAATATCTTATAAAATGTCGAGAAATACTTGTTGCCTTCTAAAAAATAAGAAAATAAAAATTATATATTGAAAAAAACACACACAATTATCTTATATATTTTTAAAATATTGCACATAATTTTTGTATAATTATCTTTTTTAATTGAAACATCAGTGTAAGTTAGATTTTCACAAAAATAAAGGATTAAAATCGCGCGAAGCACGCAAATAAAGTAATAAATCGTACTCACCCTCGGCCCGTAAACTCCGTATTTGCGTTTCGAGAGGTCGAAAGGCATTCAGTGGTAAGTTTGCTAAGTAGTTTCTACTTAGATCTAAAATCCTGAGCTTTTTCAGCGGCTTGAACGCGTCTGGCGAGATCGACGATATCCAGTTTCCATAGAGGTGCAGCTCGGCCAGACTCTCTAGATGCTGAAACGTGCTCCTTCCCACTCCGCTTATCTGATTGTACGAGAGATCGAGCACTTGCAAAGCCTTCAGGTCAGGCGGGAAGTCCTCGAGCTCTTTCAAATGGTTATGCGTGAGATTCAGCAATCTGAGGTGTTCCAGTCCCTTTAGTCTTTCCTGCGGCAGCAGCTCCAGCTCGTTGATACTGAGATCCAACGTCAATAAATTCGGAAGATTTCGAAACGCGCTGGGCGATACTCTGGATATCATATTGTTACCCATAAAAAGATGCATCAACGCGGGGAATGCCTCGAAATCCTGACTGGTAACTATAGTTAAATTCGTCCCGAAGATATGAATTTCCTGTAGAGCCGGATACTTCGCCTCTGAGCTGATCTCGTGTATTCTCACAAGAGGATTAGCCGTGATGTTCAGCCAAGCTAGACTGGGTATATTTTGCGCCGTGAGTGCTACGGCGGGTATTTGCCGGAACTTATTAGCCGCCAGCTCGATTTTTCGCAGCATATTCGAACGCGCGAAGAAATTAGCCGGAAGAGCCTTTAAGTGATTATGGCTCAGGTCCACGGATATTAGACGAGAGAAATTGACGGCAGCGAAGCCGTTGAGAGACGTGATATAGTTGCCGCGTAGATCGAGCTCCCGTAAACTGATCAATCCGTTCAGCCGCGACATATCCACGTGAGAAAGAACATTGTTGGCTAAAGAAAGAAATTCTACCGTGGTAGCGTTCGCGAACACGTCGTATGGTGCTTCCTGGAACCTGTTGCCGTCGAGTTTGACCTCCTTAAGAGCTTCCAGGCCTAGGAACAATGTCGCTGGTAATACCCTGAGTAGATTGTTGCTGAGCAATAGCTTTCCCAAATTCTTGTTCTTCGAGAATATCTCAGCCGATATTCTGTATATCTGCGACGACTCCATCGCCAGATGTTGAAGAGACGGTAAACCGTCCAAGGAATTTGCGTTGATTTGACTGAAATTGTTGTACGAGATTCTTAGAACTCTTAATCCTGGTATATCTAGGCGACCTAACGCTATGGCAGTGAAATGATTATGTTCGAGATTCAGCTCGTACAGATTGTTCAGTCCGCGAAAGGCACCGTTCTCGATTACGCTGACAGTGCAATTCTTCAGGTTGAGCGTTCTAATTGGTAGACCCTCCTGGAAGATCTTGTCGTGCAGCACATTCAGACGATTATTAGCCAGATCGAGGACGCGCAGTCTTTTAAGGGCCGTCAAGGCATAAGGATCCAGTCGGCGTAGACCGTTGTCTTGTAGATAGAGCTCCTCCAATTCGTGGAGCTCCGAGAATGTCTTTACAGTCACGTGACTCAGCCGATTCATACTGAGCTCGAGGAACTTGAGCGCCTGCATTGGTTTGAAGGCGGTATCTTCAATTCGCGAGATGGAATTGTTCGTGAGATACAGGCGCTCGACTAGCAACAGGTCCCGGAATAATGGAGCTTGAAGACGCGTCAGCCTATTGTGTCCGAGCCACATGATCCTGACCGAAGCCTGGCCTCGTAACGAGTCATTGTGTAAGACGCCGAGTCCATTGTTGTCCAGTTGAATGGAGACCAAGGAACTACCGCTGTTTTCGCCGACATCGTTTGACACCTGAAACACGTCGCCGAGCACCGCCAAGAGATTACCCTGCAGATTTACGTGTTGCAGACTGTGCAAGGATCTCAGCGCCCCGGTCTCCATATCCGTAATGGCGTTGTTCTGCAGATGCAATTCGAGAAGCGATGGTAACGGCGCAAACACGCCACGCTTTACTTCGGTGATCTGATTATCTTGCAGTCGTAACTCGCGCAGTTGCTTCGCTTTGGCGAATGTGCCTACCTCGAGCTCGCGGATATTGTTGCCATCCAAAGAGAGCGTCGAGAGATTCTCGCAATGTTCGAGAAAGTCTCGCGGCACCTTCTCGATGTAATTTCCGCTCAGATGTAGCTGCGCCAGTTGACCGAGCGTCACCAGACCACGCGCGTCGATCCTTCTGATGGCATTCTGCTGAAGATAAACGACCGAGAGGCTCGTGCTACCGGCGAATGTCTCCGCCGGTATCTCGAGAATGTTGTTTTCTGCAAGGAAGAGCTCCTTCAGCTCGGGCAGCCTTGAAAATACGCCCCGGATATAGTGTATGTGATTGTGGCTGAGATCGATCGACCTTAGTTTTTGATTGGCACGAAAGGTGGCCACGTCAAGAAACACGATCTTGTTGTGGCTGAGATCTATTGACTCGAGATCGATCAATGATATAAAGGCATCCTTGTCGACCGACTCGACCGCGTTGTAATAAAGGGAGAGAGTCTTTAAGGACGGACAGCAACGAAAGCAATTGAGCGGAATGTCCTTGAAATTGTTGCTACTGAGATCGAGGAAGTTTAAGGCGATTAGCCTGGAATAGCCGTCCTCCGGGAGCTGGGATACCTCGTTCCATGCGAGCCTCAAGGACGTGAGATGCTCTAATCTTCTTAAGGAGGTCATGGGGAATACTCTGATCTTGTTCTCCGCCAGATCTAAATCCTTTAAAGTGGTCTCGAGACCAGCAAAGGCGTATTCCGAAATTTTCATGATTTGATTACCCTTCAGGTTCAGTTTAATTAACGAGAGTCCGTAGAAACTGAAGCTAGGCAGCTCATAAACGAGGTTAGCTTCCAAATCCAAAGCTTTGAGTAGGCTCAGCGTGGCCATAGCCTTTTGAGGTACGTGAGGTAGTCGGCCGGATACAAGTGCCAAGGATTCCAGGCTTTTGCTCAGTCGCTCGAAAGCATCCTCGCTTATTTCGCGAATCGCGGAATGCGATATTTGCAAATGCCTAATTTGCGAGCCTGCCGGGAAAGCAGCGGGTCGTAATTCCTCCACTTTTCGATCCAATTCGTACACGCTCAATGATTGTACAAGCGCCCCTGGAACAATTGAGTGATACTTCGCTTAAATCCGTTAACATGTTTTGTGAATTATATATCCGTAAGAATAAAAATGAGAATAATTTCTTTTTTAATACTCATCTTATTTTTCTATCAAACACGTGAAATACTTCATCGATTATGAGTCGATGAGTATCAATAAAAAAAGATTGATTTTTTAATAAAATACTCACGCAATCAAAATTTTTGTTATTACAAAATAAAAAAAATCTGTAAATAAAATCTGTATTTAAAAGGCAATCGAATTGAATATATTTATATATAATAAGTAAATATTTCAATATGTGAGATTAAAGAAATTATTATATAAAATTAATATCTAGTTGACATATATATAAATTATACTTAAATATTCTCCAGAATATTTATATATTTTTTGAAATTCTTAAGAATGTACCTATAAATATAAAAATATATAATTACAATTTACATATGTTATCTATAAAAGTTGTGAATACATTCAAAGCCAAGTTAAGCTACTTGTTGTGATTTGAGGGCTGAAATAATAAAAGTTAAGAATGTATCGCGGTTCATTGACTATTTGCACGGAATACTGAATAGTCTCTCGAGTCTTGTCCTTTTTATTTTGAGAACCACAGCTGTTTTCTGCTAGTACACCCCGTTATTCCAATCTATACGGACAGTAGCTATTTCTACTTATATATGCGGAAGGGGAATACATATTCTCCGGTGATCCCCGCTTTTTGCGCGTTGTATAGTGGACGGTTACCTTCCTCGCCGGCGGCATGTATCACGCCGGACAAAGCGTTCCTGAGGGACTCCTCGGTAGCACCTGCGCATTCCAGGAACAGACCGCCGTTCTCGAAGTTGTAACACGGACAGCCTGGTATTGTGTCCGGTGGCGGACACTTGGCGCCCCTCGCTTCCTGCGCCGCCATACAGGCCGCCAATATCACCGAGTAGATGATGCGGAAACTGTCCCGACGGCGATTCCGCCGATTGTCACGTTCTCTGCACGACGGGGTCGACGTTTGTCGCCACTTTCGTTTGGTCCGCGGCCGCGTCGTCCACATATTATTATTATCGCGCCGCTTCGTTCCCGGCTCGTCCCGATTCGTTCATCGTTTCTCGCACCGACACTCACGGATTTCACCGCCGCGGGTACACTGCGAACAATGCGAAGAAATTTAATTAGATATGTGACGGGAAATTTTGTTATCGTTTTTGCGTATATACAATCCGATTTATCGTTTCATATTCGAATATTAATATTCTTGAAATAAATGTTCAGAGACTAGACATGTGCTTGACAATTGAGTCAGGGCAATTTCAATCTGATTTTTTATTGATGTAACACAGATTTAAATTTAAACTATATCGAATTTAATGTCAAAACATCTTGTGCAGCTGTCGATAATAATCTTACGAACTGGAATATACCTAAGAATATACTTGGTAGAGAAAAAGATATATAAAATGAATAAAGAAATAAGATCTTATTTTATATTAAATATATTTTTTATATTAATTAATAGATATACATATTTATTCAAATATTCATAAATTTATAATTTTGAAATTCGTTTAACGAGTTATTTCGATTTTTGTGTCGAAGTAATGTCATATCTAAATTATTTGTAAAAATGTTATTTTTTTTATCCAATTATGATAAAAAAGAATTATAAATGATTTTACACACGTGTCTTCTTTTTAAAAATACGAACGTCGTAACTTGTGTTTCGCCTATTTGTTCTACGGAAAAATATGGTCATCCTATTTTCAACGAACAACGAAATATATACATGCACACGTACTTCTCAGACAAACCTCAATTTACAGCAAGGGAAGGTCAGATCCCGCAGGACCGAAAAGCCGACGGGTAACGTCCTTAAAAAAAAAAAAAAAAGTCAACAGGGTCGTTGGTCAACCGGGCTAGTCGCAATGTCTCGTTCAAGGGATACCGATTTCGAAGATCATCTCGCGACGGTCGTAATTTAATACCCCCAGTAAATCTCCGTGGCTCGGGGATGCTGTCGCATACCCGCGTGACCCGTTACGAGATCGGAAAAATATGACCGGATTGGACGGTTGCCAGATGGTGTCTTAAGATGCTCGGCTGCGACACGAGGGAAGGTCACGTATGTAAGGGACATGATCGAGAATACGAAGTGGTAAATGGGTGTCGATTTCCTCCGTGTGCTACGCCGTGTACAGCCCGTCATTCTTCGAATAACTTTGTTAGGGTCGTGCTTGCAGCTCGAGGTAACGTTAGGTCGTTGGCTGCATCGAAGTAGAGAAAAATCAATATGCTTGCGACTCCTCTATGTCGAGGGGATTTTATTTTTTAATTTGTTTGCGCTTATCGTCGTCCCTACTTAGATATCTCTCGTAAAATTCCATCCGTTCTAGGGATCGTTGGATATTTTCTCGTTCGCATCCTCATTAATTAATTCGCCTGATTTTCACGGCAGATACGCAACGCATTATTTCTGCTGAAATTAAGGTAGTTAATTAATTTTTGTACTAATTAGGTGACAGGCTAATTACCGTTTATATTACATGGTTAAATGATATAAAGCTCTGGTTCCTAGTTGTTGAAAAAACAATAAATATGTAAAAGCAGTCGAGTTGCAAAATGTCACTAATGTTAATATATTTTAATATATTTTATATATATATATATATAGCCTATTTTATATATAACTTGTAATCGGATTTTGAAAATAATTCAGAAATAGTAATGTTATATGAATATAGATTTCTCAGCCATAAACAGATAAAAAAAGACAATTATGTTGATAGGAAGACACAATCATGATTAATAAATTAACAAAGCCACAGTATGTTATATATATATATGTCGTAAACGTTATATAATATATTTAACTGAAAACTACTTTAGGGATTAGATCTCATTACTTAGAAATTAGATCTCAAAGTTAAGGTATTATATCCTGTGGCAATTTGTAACGCGAATAACACACAGTCGGTTGATAAAGGCTCGAATTTGCTTTGCCGCGAAAATAGAACAGAGTTTAATTACGCGTTACGTGGAGTGTTAATTTACGAAAAACTTGCAAGTGATAACAGAGGCAGGAACGAAATAAAATGCTTACTGTGCTATTGCTTTGAAACTAGGTGAGCTTATGTGCCATTATAAATTCCAAGAGGTACGCATATCTTTGCGTAATATATTGGATCGGATGGTAAGGTCGAACTTTGTCGTTTGCAAGCACGAAAGTTGTTCCGCGCTATAACTCCGAGAAGCTTCCGCCGTTGCTCTTGTTTCCGAACCAAGAAATCTTTCGTGTACTCGACGTTTTACCCTCGAAGGACTGGCGCAATATTTGCATAACGTTACGTAATGGTTCGACAGGTTTGTGAAAATCTACTGGAGAAACAGGTGCAGCTACTTTCCTTCCATTACATGACAGGAATATATTTTAAAAAATTGTATCTTCTATTAATGTAGTATATGCTTTTATAGAATAAATTCCTAATATAATGCATCTATAATAAACTTTTGTTTATATTTTAATTTAACTTTAAAAAAAGATTTTTATTTATATTCGATTATACATTTTGACCATATTTATATACATCGGGCTTTCTATAAGTTTTCAAATCTAGTTTTAAAATGATAAAGGTAAAATATATTATATTACTGCAATGTGTAAATTGCTTGTTAAAGTTGTTGATAAAATAAATTGTAAATATTAAATTCAAATAAAAGTTTTTCCACGATTCATATCCGTGCTTACATAATTATAAATTTCAAATCAGATCCGCGAAAAGTTTTCGCAAAAGTTGCGGGATTTATATTCGACTTCTCACGACCTATAGTTGACATATATATAAATTATACTTAAATATTCTCCAGAATATTTATATATTTTTTGAAATTCTTAAGAATGTACCTATAAATATAAAAATATATAATTACAATTTACATATGTTATCTATAAAAGTTGTGAATACATTCAAAGCCAAGTTAAGCTACTTGTTGTGATTTGAGGGCTGAAATAATAAAAGTTAAGAATGTATCGCGGTTCATTGACTATTTGCACGGAATACTGAATAGTCTCTCGAGTCTTGTCCTTTTTATTTTGAGAACCACAGCTGTTTTCTGCTAGTACACCCCGTTATTCCAATCTATACGGACAGTAGCTATTTCTACTTATATATGCGGAAGGGGAATACATATTCTCCGGTGATCCCCGCTTTTTGCGCGTTGTATAGTGGACGGTTACCTTCCTCGCCGGCGGCATGTATCACGCCGGACAAAGCGTTCCTGAGGGACTCCTCGGTAGCACCTGCGCATTCCAGGAACAGACCGCCGTTCTCGAAGTTGTAACACGGACAGCCTGGTATTGTGTCCGGTGGCGGACACTTGGCGCCCCTCGCTTCCTGCGCCGCCATACAGGCCGCCAATATCACCGAGTAGATGATGCGGAAACTGTCCCGACGGCGATTCCGCCGATTGTCACGTTCTCTGCACGACGGGGTCGACGTTTGTCGCCACTTTCGTTTGGTCCGCGGCCGCGTCGTCCACATATTATTATTATCGCGCCGCTTCGTTCCCGGCTCGTCCCGATTCGTTCATCGTTTCTCGCACCGACACTCACGGATTTCACCGCCGCGGGTACACTGCGAACAATGCGAAGAAATTTAATTAGATATGTGACGGGAAATTTTGTTATCGTTTTTGCGTATATACAATCCGATTTATCGTTTCGTATTCGAATATTAATATTCTTGAAATAAATGTTCAGAGAGTAGACATGTGCTTGACAATTGAGTCAGGGCAATTTCAATCTGATTTTTTATTGATGTAACACAGATTTAAATTTAAACTATATCGAATTTAATGTCAAAACATCTTGTGCAGCTGTCGATAATAATCTTACGAACTGGAATATACCTAAGAATATACTTGGTAGAGAAAAAGATATATAAAATGAATAAAGAAATAAGATCTTATTTTATATTAAATATATTTTTTATATTAATTAATAGATATACATATTTATTCAAATATTCATAAATTTATAATTTTGAAATTCGTTTAACGAGTTATTTCGATTTTTGTGTCGAAGTAATGTCATATCTAAATTATTTGTAAAAATGTTATTTTTTTTATCCAATTATAATAAAAAAGAATTATAAATGATTTTACACACGTGTCTTCTTTTTAAAAATACGAACGTCGTAACTTGTGTTTCGCCTATTTGTTCTACGGAAAAATATGGTCATCCTATTTTCAACGAACAACGAAATATATACATGCACACGTACTTCTCAGACAAACCTCAATTTACAGCAAGGGAAGGTCAGATCCCGCAGGACCGAAAAGCCGACGGGTAACGTCCTTAAAAAAAAAAAAAAAAGTCAACAGGGTCGTTGGTCAACCGGGCTAGTCGCAATGTCTCGTTCAAGGGATACCGATTTCGAAGATCATCTCGCGACGGTCGTAATTTAATACCCCCAGTAAATCTCCGTGGCTCGGGGATGCTGTCGCATACCCGCGTGACCCGTTACGAGATCGGAAAAATATGACCGGATTGGACGGTTGCCAGATGGTGTCTTAAGATGCTCGGCTGCGACACGAGGGAAGGTCACGTATGTAAGGGACATGATCGAGAATACGAAGTGGTAAATGGGTGTCGATTTCCTCCGTGTGCTACGCCGTGTACAGCCCGTCATTCTTCGAATAACTTTGTTAGGGTCGTGCTTGCAGCTCGAGGTAACGTTAGGTCGTTGGCTGCATCAAAGTAGAGAAAAATCAATATGCTTGCGACTCCTCTATGTCGAGGGGATTTTATTTTTTAATTTGTTTGCGCTTATCGTCGTCCCTACTTAGATATCTCTCGTAAAATTCCATCCGTTCTAGGGATCGTTGGATATTTTCTCGTTCGCATCCTCATTAATTAATTCGCCTGATTTTCACGGCAGATACGCAACGCATTATTTCTGCTGAAATTAAGGTAGTTAATTAATTTTTGTACTAATTAGGTGACAGGCTAATTACCGTTTATATTACATGGTTAAATGATATAAAGCTCTGGTTCCTAGTTGTTGAAAAAACAATAAATATGTAAAAGCAGTCGAGTTGCAAAATGTCACTAATGTTAATATATTTTAATATATTTTATATATATATATATATAGCCTATTTTATATATAACTTGTAATCGGATTTTGAAAATAATTCAGAAATAGTAATGTTATATGAATATAGATTTCTCAGCCATAAACAGATAAAAAAAGACAATTATGTTGATAGGAAGACACAATCATGATTAATAATTTAACAAAGCCACAGTATATTATATATATATGTCGTAAACGTTATATAATATATTTAACTGAAAATTACTTTAGGGATTAGATCTCATTACTTAGAAATTAGATCTCAAAGTTAAGGTATTATATCCTGTGGCAATTTGTAACGCGAATAACACACAGTCGGTTGATAAAGGCTCGAATTTGCTTTGCCGCGAAAATAGAACAGAGTTTAATTACGCGTTACGTGGAGTGTTAATTTACGAAAAACTTGCAAGTGATAACAGAGGCAGGAACGAAATAAAATGCTTACTGTGCTATTGCTTTGAAACTAGGTGAGCTTATGTGCCATTATAAATTCCAAGAGGTACGCATATCTTTGCGTAATATATTGGATCGGATGGTAAGGTCGAACTTTGTCGTTTGCAAGCACGAAAGTTGTTCCGCGCTATAACTCCGAGAAGCTTCCGCCGTTGCTCTTGTTTCCGAACCAAGAAATCTTTCGTGTACTCGACGTTTTACCCTCGAAGGACTGGCGCAATATTTGCATAACGTTACGTAATGGTTCGACAGGTTTGTGAAAATCTACTGGAGAAACAGGTGCAGCTACTTTCCTTCCATTACATGACAGGAATATATTTTAAAAAATTGTATCTTCTATTAATGTAGTATATGCTTTTATAGAATAAATTCCTAATATAATGCATCTATAATAAACTTTTGTTTATATTTTAATTTAACTTTAAAAAAAGATTTTTATTTATATTCGATTATACATTTTGACCATATTTATATACATCGGGCTTTCTATAAGTTTTCAAATCTAGTTTTAAAATGATAAAGGTAAAATATATTATATTACTGCAATGTGTAAATTGCTTGTTAAAGTTGTTGATAAAATAAATTATAAATATTAAATTCAAATAAAAGTTTTTCCACGATTCATATCCGTGCTTACATAATTATAAATTTCAAATCAGATCCGCGAAAAGTTTTCGCAAAAGTTGCGGGATTTATATTCGACTTCTCACGACGCTTTCAAAGTTTTTGCTCTCGGAGTTTCTCGCTTACGCATGTCGTTCGCACGCACGGCTAGGTATTCCTGCCTCGATTCGTCCGCTTCTCGATGCCGTTTCCCGCACGCGTTACGTCGCGTCCGTCGCCACTTCGAATCGGCTTTACGTTCGAACAGATTCCGCATCGGGGAGATGCAACGAGTCGACCGGCGATTCCCGCGCCACCGTTCGAGAGACGCGGCCTAACGTTTTCCAGGCCGGAACGTTCTGGTCCATTACCGCCACAGCGAAATTGAATTTCCTCGGGATGGCGGTGCGGCTTGACGCCGCGCGCAAGCCCGGATTAAATCGTTGCGGCCGCCGAGCAAACCGCGGCCACTAATGAAGCGTACCGCGTTGAATTTAAAAGATTTCCCTCCGCCTTCCTTCCTCCCTCGCCGCGAGGTCGAGGGCAACGAGAATTCGCGTCCTCACGCGAAATTGCAGTCAACCTGAAGAGGGGGGGCTCTTTCGCTCCTCTTCTCTCTCTCCTTCTCTCTTTTCTAGACTACGTCTTAAAGGGAGAACGGGAAGGAGGAGAGGAGGTGGAGGAGGGTGGTTGCAACGGATGTACCTATGCATACGGCTTTCTCTCCGTTCCCCTCTCTCACCCACTTAGGAGAGGACGCCTAACGAGCTTCCCGACCACCGGGAGTGCTTTGCAGTTGTTCACCTATTTAAATAAGAACCGCCGATGGTAATGAGAATGCAAATAGCGCGACACGCCCTTACGCGAGCTTCGTCTCACACGCCATGGAATAATAAAAAGGTGAGCGTCGCGACGAGTATACTTGTATCGCGAGCTTCAACTACCCTTATATAAGATTGTAGACGGATGCGTCTGCGGCGGTTGCGAGCGTTGCGTTTTCTCGCTTGCTATCCGGAATCTAGAATCTAGAATGAGATTGAAAATATTTAATAAGTTTTTATAAGATTGGGAGATATAAATATAAATATATTTCTATGTGGATGTATTGATTGAAATTACAAAGCTGGACGTTGTACATTCTGATTGTAAAAATATAATATTGTGCAACATGTTCGATAACGCATCGGACTTTGCGATCTCTGTTTTCGAGAGGGACGTAAGGATTTCCGTCGTCAGTCGAGAAATAAGCGAAAGAAAGAATGAAACCACGGATTTACGGTCGTACAGAACTTGACGTAATAGCAACGCGAAAGGTCTTCAAAAAGAGTCACAAGAAACGTTTAAAGTTTTTTAAAATACCATGCCGTGCACGTTTATGATCGATATTAATGGAGAACAGACTTTGATTTTTTTTATCACAAAAGAGATTTTATGATCTCGATTTTTTTTTCTCCTAAATAAGATGGTCTTTCTTTTTAATATCGTTTAATATAATTATTTGTTATGCTCTATTTCAAATTATTTTATTTCTACTTGAAATTTATTATTTCTGTCTTTTTTCTGTAATATCAATTATTATATCTAGTTTTATAAAAAGAGAAAGAAAATAAAATCACGGTATTTGCACTAATTATAAAATTGGTTTCTTCATTTTTGTAAATTAAATGACTAATAAATAATGCGCTATTCTTGGAGATGTATTTCCCTACTTGCAATCACGATTTTATTCATGTTTTTGATGGCATAGCAGGAATTATCTCACGTGATAGCGTGGAGGTAAACTTGTGTAACTGAAAACGCGGAGCCGTGATACTCCGAAGGAAGGGCGACCAAGTAAATCCGTTTTATGAGTTCTAGGGTCATCATGAAATAACATCGTTGAGATCGTTTAATAACTTGTACTTCACCAAGTTCTGTTCCGCCGGCGCATCGAGGCAATATCGTGCAATTTCTGCCCGCGGAAATAAAACGCTCCCCTTCCGAGAGCTTACCGGCTTTAATCGTGCTTCTGTGTCGATCATGCTCCGTAATCTGTGTGATGGAAATCCTTCCGAAACGACCGACGTTAAATCTCTAATTTATCGATCTACTATTAAAAATTGAGCCGCTCACGGATCGTAAAGGAGATGCAGACCTATTTACGTGCTTCACATAAACTTACGTTTTATCTCGAAGTCGCCGTATAACAAATAGGTATAACGAACAGTACTGTCGAAAATATCTGATAAGTTCTGTCGAGCAATTTTATCAACAGAAGGTTTTTAAGCGCAAGACGTTTTAACGTCAATCTGCTTCTGTTTCTAGGAAACGGTATATAATCTATAATAAACTTAGCTCTTAGAGAAATCAAGTGCCAATGTTAATTGCTTCAAGTAAAGACAAACTTTCTTTCGATCGGTTTCATGTCAATTTTAGCTTAACATTAATTTTATCGAAACTTC